GCGGAGCGGGATCCCGGGAGTCGCCGGGGAGCACTTCTGAGTTCGATTTATCGCGTCCAGACTAGACGCGATAAGTCGAACCCAGAAGTTCGATGCCAGCCGCCGAACTAGCGGGTAAGTGTAGCCAAGGCCTTAGTCTGCCTCAGAACGCCGGGGAAAGAAAACTTCAGCTCTTGTAGGGATCTACCTCTCACAATGGGATCTGACTCACTTGGCTACGACAAATACACTCTCATGGGTGATTTTCAACGGCTTCAAGGTTTTTCTATGGCCAACAAAAGTTAATCCTTTTAGTTCAGTAAGAAGAACAGTGAGTTTTCTTTGAAAGTGGCACATTCCTCGACTCACTATCTCACCTTGGGCAAGTCACATCCCCTCTATTGCTACTATAGACCCACTTCTGCTGTGATACTTGTGGTGAGACTACCTGACTTATACCTACATGTCTGAGGAGTAAATAGAAAGAATTCATAGATCTTACTGATTTTTAAATAGTTATTACCTTAGTCTTCTATTACCACTATATGCCCAATCACCACCTTGACAACCTTACTAATCTGTCACACCCATTCCCAATGCACAGCATCAATCTTTTCTTTGGAGACACCTACCATATGATGAACTGGTCAGAACATTTCTGGTGAAATGAAATTTCACCAAAATAAGCTATTTCATCAAAACCTGTGCGTTTTGTGGAGCTGTACCAGTTTCTGCACATTTTTTTGTCAGGAAGGTTTTTGGATCCAGAACCTGGGTGCATGGAGGTAGAGAATACTCTAATCAGAGTACTAGCCTGGGATGTGAGAGAACCATGTTTAAAGTCTCTTTTTGGACTTGATTTGGAGTGATATGGGATGAAAAATCTGCTCTGAATCAGGCAGAGCAGGGACTTGAACCTAGGTCTCTCACATTCCAAGCCAAGACCCTAAACACCAGGCTATAGAGCAGGGGTGACCAAACCATGGCTCGTGAGCTGCATGCAGCTCTTTTACAGTTAAAGTGTGGCTTGCGAAACTCCCCATACTCCTTCCCCGCCCCACCCATTCTTCGCCTACCAGACTTGGGGCGGGAGGAGCTCAGGGCTTTTGCCCAACAGGGAAGAGGGGCTCAGAGCTTCAGCAAGAGCAGGGTTGAAGCCTCAAGGTGCCTCCCGCTGGGTTGCAGCCCCAAGACTCCTCTTCCCGCAGGGCTGATGCCCTGAGCCCTGGCAGGCGCACCCCATGGGGATGGAGCCCTGGCAGGCATGTCCCGGCTCTCGAACGTCTGAAGATTGTCGCATGTGGCTCGGCAGGTCAGTAAGTTTGGCCACCCCTGCTACAGAGCGAGACTGGTTTCTCAAACACACACAACTTTTGTTTGTGTGAAAACATCTGAAATGTTTTGTTTTTATTTCAATGCAGAATGAAAACAAAATTTCAAAACATTGAAAGTAGCCACCATGAAACAGAAAAGTTATCTTCCAGTCAGCTCTCATTATGGGTACTACTGAAACCAAGTGAACAAATAAGAAAAAAACAAAGGCATTTGAGCCCTGTATCACAATCTGATTAGGGCCAGAATGGAAGGAGGGTGGTTAAAATACTAGTCTGGGACTCAGAGGAGGGTTCTAATCCCACCTCTGCCGCTGATTTGCTATGTGACCTTGAGTGAGTCAGTTCCCCTTGCTTTCCCCTTCTGTATAAAGGGGATAATTATGCCAAATAATGCAGAGGAAGGGGAGCTGTGAGACTTAATTAGCATCTGTAAGACATTTAAAGATGCTTAGACGGAAGGGGCCAGAGTTACTATTATAGCCTCCACTTAAATAGCTACTAAGTCTCTGTACAAATAAACATATTAAGCTGATTTAATTAAATCTATTCGATCTACCTACACTGGGCAGGAAACCACGTTTAAGCAGTTTCTGAACTCTGTGACAGCTGAACCAACTACTACTAACATGATTTGGCTGGCTGGTGTGCACAGAGCCATCCTTGTAAGAACTACGTTTTAGTCTGGGTGGGAATCTAGGCTAAGATGTGGCTTGTAAATGTGTTTCTGATTCTGAAACCTTAAAATTACTAAAGGCAGAATAAACAGTGACTCTCAATTCAAAGGGAAGGGGAGGTGATTTTCTTTCTGTGCTGAGGGAGAAAGTAAGTAGGAAAGCTTGAGAAATACCTTTTATTTAACACTGCAAAGTGAACAGCAAACTGAGCTGTGTAGAGCGCGAGGGGCAGCAGGATGAGGCAGAATACACGAGCCAGCAAGTGTTTCCCTAGTGTGACCTGCAGACAGAATCCAAATCAAACAGAGTGGCAGCAGAAACCCTCCTGATTGCGACTGCCAGGAGTGTCCCTGTGGTGGGAGACTATTCATAGAAACCACCATGGCACACAAGACCAACTAGCTCCTTAGCAAGCTGCAAGATTTCCCCAAAAAGGCTGAGGGAAAGGTGGAAGCCAAGCCACACTCTCCCAATGCGCTCCCCAAAAAGTAGCCTCATTTGAAAATATGGGAAAAAATAGTTTTTATTTTTAGAAATGCTCAGCACCCACTTCTGCAATTGAAGTCGATGGGAGCTGCCCAAGATCAACACCTTTGAAAAATCAGGCCCATATTGCTTATATAGTTTATTGGGGTAGCACAGGACTTGAAAATAAATGAAGGGTGGGGAGAAGCTTGTGGAATAGGAACTGTGGCTATGTGGTGAAGGGAGAAAAAGAGGGCATGGGGGAGGACCAATTTATGAGAATCTTAGGGGAAATCCTGAGGCTCTCTTAGATGTGGGTTTAAAAATGGCTACTTGATTACCCAAATTTGCTAAGAATTTGGATATATAGAGGTTAAGGCTGCCAAAATCAGGTTTAATTGGTGTCTATTTCATCTATCTTAGGTTTTTGTAAGAGCGTAATAGCTAAGTGATAAGAAAAGCAACTCCCATCTCCTAACACCAAGGCAAATTATTTTTAAACTAATAGGGAAAATACTGACTATATTTCGTTGTGGTCCAGATCCTGCACCCACTGAAGTCAATGGAATATTACTCCTGGGGGAACTCTGCGCCACTGTGCAAAGCAGAATTTGTGCAGAATTAATGTTCTGTACAGAATTTCATGTTTCCCCTGCAGAACTAGGGCTGCAGAGCTGCTGGCCACTCCTAAGGGCTGCTATACTCTGCAGAGCCCAGCTCGCAGTTAGCGGAGCACCCATCCCAGCGAGGATGGAGGCTCTGTATGCTCCGGCTGCCCGGCTTAATCCTCATCAACCCAGGGAAAGAAGAGGGCCTGGGAGACCTAGCTCTGGCAAAGGGTGAGGAATAGCCGGGCCACACCACGTCCCCTGGAGGGACAGTAAAGAAGCTGGAGGGAGTAAAGGCACTGGGGGGGATGGGGTGTCTGGGGTGGGAATGCCCTATGGCTGTGCTCTGAGGGAACAGGGGGGTGCGGGTGTCTGGGCTGGGGGGTACCCCACGGCTGGTGTCTGGGCTGCGGGTTGCCCCGCGACTGGGGTCTGGTGGGAGGGGAGTGTGGGTGTCTGGGCTCTGGGGGTGCCCCATGGCCGGACTCTGAGGGGAGCGGGATGCAGGTGTCTGGGCTCTAGGTGGATGCCCACGCAGTCCCCTCCAGCACCCCCCCACTTTGAACTGCGTTGTCGTAGATGATTGTTTAACTCTCTACTCCCGGGGAAATCTTTTTTTGGTGTCTGTATTGTTGACATACTTATTCACAGGTATTTTGAAATAAATTACCTGAACAGTTGAAACTGGCGTGATTATATGGTGTTATTTTGACAAATAAAATATGCAGAATTTTAAAATATTGCGCGCAGAATTTTTAATTTTTTGGCACAGAATTCTCCCAGGAGTAGAAGATGCCGTTGGTTCAGTACTTCTGAAAAAATCCAGCCCAAAGCATCAGTTGAGCACCCAAAAATCACTGCCACTTCTGAAAATTTTGGTTTAAATTACATAACCAAAGCCACAGTGTCGATCAACATCTGAGCTGGGATTAAAATTCAGGAATCTAGTCCCCAATCCCCAGATTGGATCAGCACAAAACACTTCTCTTTTTACAAAATCTCTTTTTGCTACAATAACTATTTTTACTATTTATTTGTATTTGTATTGAGAAAAGAAGAAAAATATGACATCACTAAAAAGCAATGAACAAAACAGCAGTAGGCCAAGATGAGGTGCAGGTTCTAGAAATCAATTTTTTTCCAAATAAATGACATGTAAACAAACCAAAACTAGTTCCATAGGCAATATGGAGAAAAGTTATTCATGCTTTTAGGCTTTTACTAGTTACTAGTTCTTTTTCAGAGTAACTGACGAAGGGTTGCCAAATAGTTAATTATTCAGCAAGTCTCTCTCTTCTGGAGTTGGTAAATTTCTTTGTATATTCTACCACTCCGGGGTTCTCTTTTGCTGCCAACAGCACAAATGAAATCACTTTGCAGCTGTCTGTGACAGAAACCTTAGAGATGATGGATTTGTTCCATTTCAAATACAATTAACTAACTCTATTCTCAAGAAATGCTCTCTGGAGCTGGAATGTTGCATCATTGCAGCTCATATTGATTCGCATTAATCAGGGAACACAAACCATAAGGCAGGGAAGGCAGAGAAGAAAAAAACAATGTTTATGAAATAAGAAAAGGACAAAACCAGTAAGCAGAACAAATAGAATTTTCAAACTTCAAAACAGGCTGCGACAAAACACTTTTTTTTTTTTTTTTTAAAGATATGCTTGAATAGTCTCTCTCTCTGCACGATCTTAAATGGGATATCGAAGACATCTCTGAGGTAATAAACATCAGATTTCATAGCCCTCAAATACTATATGCAATATTTTTTAAGCCAGAGCACCTGACCTTTTCTCCTTTAACAACTGCATTGGCAAGTTACCCAGAGCCTAAAAGCTGCTGCGCTGCATTTGTGTAAAATGGAGCAGAGTACAGCTGCCTTCATCTTCAACACAACAGTGTATCCTGTAGAGACTGCAAGTCACACAGTATACACTACAAGTAAGCCACTGGATCCCAATGAAGCGTTACATGCCCTCGCAGTCTGTGCAGGCTGTATCCTTGTATTGCAAATGAAGACAGCATCAACCTGCTCCATTGCATGCATATTAAGTGCAGCAAATTAGGAACATCTAGCACGGGGTAGTCAATAGGCAGACCGTGGGCCAAATCTGGACCTCCAGACGCTTTTGAACAGAACTTGAAATCTTTTTTTACTTATTACCATTATTGTTATTTTTTCTGGAGTCTGGACCTTGACCAAGAAATCTGGATCTTGACAAATAATTGACTACCCCCGATCTAGCAGGAAGCACTTCTCTTTAGAAGGCCACACTGTAGAATTCCAGATGATGGCTAACTATGGGCTATTGTCTGGCCATCCTTGATATGCATTTAATCTAGAATGAAATCTAATGCATGCAACCCAAAAGGCAAGAGGTCTCTCCAATGAACACCCTCTGGGTGCATTATATCCTGCTGACAGTTGTTGTTTTTTTAAAACACAGGAGACAACTGGTTTTTCATTATACCTCTCAATTCCAGTCATCATCTGGCTTCAATATCTATCAGCTGTCTTCTGCAGACAAACTGATAGCAAGTTGTTTCCATGAATATCAAAAGCAGGGAAGTTAACAAGGGGAAAAAACACTAAATATAAAGAAAAATTCTGGACACTCACCAGTGACAGGCTGAGGTCCCCCAGCAACTCCCAAAGATCATAAACTGTGTTCAGTCCAACCAAGAGGACTACAAAGAGGCCAACAAACTTCACCCCTATCGCTCCAGCAAGGTTGATCCCAGTCAGACTCAGCCAGAACCACCAGGAAGCAGAAAACGGCCTACACAACAGACAGAGCAGGTCACTGTTTAATGATAGCTACAAGTGCAAACAGCACCAATTGAAACAAACAGGAAATCATCTGCTCAGAGCAGGTCCTGGGCAACTGCAAAACCTGTTACCACTGCCTCCTGTTCCATTTCTCTGGGGTCTTTCACTGGAAGTGGGGAAATAAAGTTGACATTTTTCATGAATTTTGGAAGGGTCCAAGCGCACCCTTGTTTTGATGTTTGTAAAGGGCCTCTATTGAAACCTGGTCAACCCTGTAAGGAGGGCTTCAGGAGGGGAATAGAACCACAGCCTAGACCTAATGGGTTTGGCGACAGTCCATATACAGGAGGCCTGGGTCTGAGAGGAGTGCTACGACTCTTGCTCCATGACATGGCAAGGATGGAAGAGTCAAAGGGCTGTGACATGGGAGGGGGACAGATATTGGCTAGGCTCCTCCTTGCATCTTCAATAGGCCTATATCAGAAAAATACTGGTGTAGAATATCTTCCTATCCACAGCACAAGTGTTAACGACAGCAAAAGAAACAAGACTAAAACCAAACAGTAGGGAAAAGATGAGTGGAGGTGAGGAGGTGGGTGGAAGTTTATTAGCCCCTCTCCCAATGACTCACTACCTCTGGGTAGCATATTTTGCTCAATCAAAAGTCACATCTGCACTAGCCAGAAGCCAGAGGGCCACTCCTAATTTACATTAAATGGATCTGTTTACTGCTGCCCCAATCTTGAATAAAGAGACAACCAATGAAAACTACAGATCATAGCATAGAATACTGCATCTTGAGCTGATCAGATGGAGCACAGTACACTAGGAGTTTGTAGTTTACAGGTTACATGCTGCGTGTTGTAAATGAGGATGGCTGCAGGCAGCATTGCATGACTTTAGATGGGCCACACTAGCCATGTCTGCTGTAGTCAGTCACACTGAGACAGCACAGTCAATTCTACAGCACATTTCACACAATGGTACAGATCACAAATGGGTAAAGCTTACCGTATATACTCGTTCATAAGCCGAATTTTTTTAGTAAAAAAGGGAAGCACCAGAGAAGGAGGTCGGCTTATGAACGGGTATAGAGAGGGAGAGGTGGGACACAGCCCCTCCCTGCAACAGAGGGAGCAAAGAGAGGTAGCACAGCCAGCAGAGCCAGAAGGGAAGAGGCGGGCCAGAGGCTCTCCGCTTCTGGCCATGCTGTTCTCTCCCCAGCCTCCGAAGCAGCTGCAGGTTCGGGGCTGGCAGGCTGCAGCCGTGCCGCTCGGCCCCGCCCCCACAGCAGGCTGCGGCCGTGCCGCCCGGCCCAGCCCGCTGGAACATGCTGTGGCCGCGCCGCCCAGTCTGGCCTGCCACAGCGGGCTGTCGCCGCGCTGCCCCGTCTACCGGAGCAGCTCCAGCCAGGCCAGAGACATCCTCCCCCAGCCCTCCCCAGAGAAGGTGGGAAGGGAAGGGATGGGATGGAGAGAGTGTGGGGGTCCTGGCCTCAGGGTGAGGTCATCTGGGGGGTGGTCACAGGGGTTACTCCCCTGATCCCCAGCTTCTCCCCCGCAAAAAAATTCCCCACCAGTTGCTGTCCCGGCCCGTCAGGGTAAGCAGCTGGCGCACCGGGACAATTTGTTTACTTAGGTTTATCTCCGTGCCTGCGGACGCTCGAGGTAAACAAACCATCTTGGCCCTACAGCGGCTTATCCTGATGGCCTGGGAGCCAAAGTTTGCCGACCCCTGAATTATAGGCTCAGCTTATGAATGGGTCATAAAAAATTTCCATTTTTACTTATCCATCTTGGGGAGGTCAGCTTATAAACGAACCGGCTTATGATCGAGTATATACTTAGTTATCACATCATCTGATTTTGGTTCCATTGTGGGGAAGATGCCCTATGTGGCTCCACCTTACATAAACTCTTCAGGATCCCCGAATACTCTAAGCAGGATCATGCCTCTTGGATATGCGTAGACCAGCTAGCCTGGAACACATTACTGCTTCATTCAGAAATCTCATGTAAACACTTCCAAAAATGCTAGGATACCAATCCTTGAAGCCCAACAAATTATACTATTTTATAAATATTCATGGGCTCATCGTTATGAAAAACGAGAGCTTCCCTGGCCTGGAAACAAAGGAATTGGGCCTTAGAAATTGGACAAGAGGACATACAAAAGTCTTACCATTAAGAGCAAAGCAGGTGGTAAAATCTAACTATTCTACTGCTCTGACCACATCACGCCCACCCCTAGCTTCCCTTGTTGTCACAGGAAGTTCAAGTTTCTTGTCTTTACCTTCAAGGCTCTTGCATAGATCCACACCATCGATATCTCTGTGAATGCTTCCTCTCAAACTGGCTTTCATACCCCATTCTCTACTCAATCCTCTCTCCCATGTACTTCCTATGTCTCGCCCAGCCTTAACCCTTTTCCACACAACCATGCGAAGAAGAGGATGGTGTCGCCAGCAGGCCTTCATCTCCTCGAGCAGGACTGCTAAGAAGAAATTTGGTCCACCTAACAAAGAAGGGGACGAGTACCTTTGGATACAGACTGGCTAATCTAGTGAGGTGGGCTTTAAACTAGATTCAACAAAAGCCTACATGTAAGTCCAGAATATGAAGACACGGGTGAAGGGTCAGAATCTGGGAGAAACATGGGAAATCAGAGCAGGGACAAAGGAAAGAAAAGAGGGACAATAGAGGGGAAATCTAATGAACATCTTAGATGTCTGTATACTAATCCAAGGCACGGGGAATGAACAGGAAAAACTAGAAATACTAATAAATAATCAATTACAACATAACTGGCATCACAGAGACTTGATAGGAAAATTCATATGACTGGAATCATAGTATAGAAGGGTACAGCTTGTTCAGGATAGGCAGGGTGAAAAGGGAGGTGTTGCCTTGTATATCAAAGATGTATACACATGCACTGAGCTTGAGATAGAAGTGGGAGGCAGACCTGTTGAAAGTCTCTGAGTATGAATAAAAGGGGTAAAAAATAAGGGTGTCGTCATGGTAGGGGGTCTACTATAGACCACCTCACCAGGAAGAAAAGGTTGATGAGGCTTGTTTTAAACAACTAACAAAATCATCCAAAGCATAGGACTTGGTGGTGATGTGAGACTTCAACTACCCAGAAATCTGTTGGGAAAATAATACAGCAGGGCACAGATTAGCCAACAAGTTCTTGAAATGCATTGGAGACAACTTCTTATTACATAAAGTGGAGAAAGCAACTAGGAGAGAGGCTGCTCTAGATTTGATTCTGACAAACAGAGAGGAAATAGTTGAGCATTTGAATGTGGAAGGCAGCTTGTGTTAAAGTGATCATGAAATGATTTAGTTCATGATTCTAAGGAATGGTAGGAGGGAAAACAGCAGAATAAAGACCATTGACTTTAAGAAGGCAGACTTTAGCAAACTCTGAGAATAGTTACATACCATGGGAAGCAAGTCTAAGTGAAAAAAGATTTCAGTACAGTTGGCAGTCTTTTAAAGAGACATTATTAAGGGCACAAGAGCAAACTATCCCAATGTATAGAAAGATAGGAAATAAGATAAGAGAGCACCCTGCCTTACCCAGGAGATCTTTAACAACCTAAAACTCAAAAAAGAATCATACAAAAAGTAGAAAGTAGGTCAGGTTACAAAGGATGAATATAGAAGAACACAAGAATGCAGGGACAAAATTAGAAAGGCCAATGCACAAAATGAGATTAAACTAGCTTGGGACATAAAAGGGCAGCAAGAAAACATTTTTACAAATACATTAGAAGCAAGAGGAAAACCAAGGACAGAATAAGCCCTTTTACTCAATGAGGAGGGAAAGACTAACAGAAAACACAACTATGGCTGAAATGCTAAATGCCTTTTTTGTTTCAAGCAACAGAGTCTCCTGTGGCACCTTTAAGACTAACAGATGTATTGGAGCATGAGCTTTCATGGGTGAATGCATCATCATTACATGCATCCGACGAAGTGGGCATTCACCCACGAAAGCTTATGCTCCAATACATCTGTTAGTCTTAAAGGTGCCACAGGACACACTGTTGCTTTTTACAGAGCCAGACTAACACAGCTACCCCCTGATACTTTTTTGTTTCCGTTTTTCACCAGTTTAGCAGTGATCAGATGACTAACACAATGAACATCAAGATAAATAGGGTAGGATCTGAGGCTAATATAGGGAAAGAACAAGTTAAGAATTACTTAGACAAGTTAGATGTCTTCAAGTCAGCAGGGCATGGTGAAATACATCCTAGAATGCTTAAAGAACTGGCGGAAGAGATCTGTCAGCCATTAGCGATTATCTTGGAGAACATGTGAAGGATGGGAGAGATCCCAGAGGACTGGAAAAGGGAAAATATAGTACCTATTTATAAAAAGGGAAATAAGGAAACCCAGGGATTTATAGACCAGTCATCTTAACTTCAGTACTGGAAAGAAAAAGGAACAAATAATCAATCAGTTTGTAAGCACTTAGAAGATAAGGCAATAAGTAACAGTCAACATGGATTTGCTGAGAACAAATCCTGTCAAACCAACCTAACATCCTTCTTTGACAGGATAACAAACGTGGATGGGGGGGACGCAGTACTTGCAATATATCTTGACTTTAGTAAGGCTTCTGATACTGTCGCACATGACCTTCTCATAAGCAAACCAGGAAAATATAACCTAGACCAATCTACTATAAGATGGGCGCACAACTGGTTGGAAAACCATATTCAGAGTAGTTATGAAATGGGTAACAGTCAAGCTCACAGGGAATATCAAGTGAGGACCCACAGGGATCGGTCCTGGATCTGGTTCTATTCAATATCCTCATAAATTATTTTGATAATGGCACAGAGAGCACATTGATAAAATCCGAGGCTGATACTCAGCTGGGAGGGGTTGCAAGTGCTTTGGAGGAAAGGATTAGAATTCAAAATGATCTTGACAAATTGGAGAAATGGTCGGAAACAAATAGGAAGGAATAATTGCACAAATACAAAATGGGAAATGATTGCCTAGGAAGCAGTACTGCAAAAAAATGTTGGGGGTATAGTGGATAAACTAAATATCAGTCAACAATGCAATACTGTTATAAAAAAAGCAAACATCATTCTGGAATGTATTAGCAGGAGTGTGGTAAGCAAGACACTAGAAGTAATTCTTCCATTCTTTGCAACACTGATAAGACCCTCATTGGGGCACCACACTTCAGGAAAGATGAGGACAAATTGGAGGAAGTCCAGAGGAGAGCAATACAAATAATAAAAGATTTAGAAAACATGACCCAGTCTTCAACTACATAAAAGGATGTCATAAGGAGAGTGATAAAGTGTTATCTTTAAACACCAAGGATAGGACAAAAAGTAATGGGCTTAAATCACAGCAAGGGAGATTTAGTTTGGACATTAGGGAAAACTTCCTAACTGTAAAGGTAGTTAAGTATTGAAACAAATTGCCTAGGGAGATTATAAATTCTCCATCATTGGAGGTTTATAAGAACAGGTTAGACAAACACCTGTCAGGGATAGTCGATATTACTTAGTCCTGTATCAGTTCAGGGGATTGGACGAGATGACCTATAAAGGTCCATTCCCATCCATGACTCTCAGAAAGCTCCCATGTTCACAATAGTCTCTTTCCCCTTCTCCAAGGAGCCAAATTCCCTCCCTCTTCTCCTTTCACCCATCCCCTCTCCTCACGCTCCCACTATCATATTGTCTCCCTGTACATGCATGAAGGCTCATACATCTATGGCATAATAAAAAATGATCACCATCTTACCTATCTGCACAGGAGTTACACTTCACCATACTCAGCACAGCTCCCATAAGAAAGAACATCAGAATGGGGTCAAGCAGGATGTACTGGGACAGAGTAATGCAGCCTGTATCTGAAAAATAAAACACCCAACTATACTAAGAGATGTCTCAGTTTCAAAGAAAACCTAGAGCAGTGTCTGTAGCAAGCCAGTTTCCTCACAGCTTAGTCAAGAGACAGCATGGGCAATGGTGGGACTAGAAACAAGTCAGCATGTCTCAACTCTGACCATAGTAAGAAACTTTGAAATGTTATTTTCAAATGGCCCAAACAGCAGAGCTCTGAATTGCCATGCAGCAAACAGATTATGTTCTCAGTTCCTCATTCTTTGAACAAATGGGAGCTAGGAATGAGAAAGACAGAAAGAAAGAAAGACAGACAGAAAGAGCTTTTACTTGGGGATATTAAAAATCTTGTGATGCTTTTTGAGAGTCTCTGTGTTAAATGGCCCGTCTCTAACTCAGGTAATTCTACTCTGCCTATCTAAATCCTTCTCTATAATTTCAATTATACACAGAATCTTTATTGACTTACTACCCTGAAGTCTTATTTAGCATTGCTGTGCACTATTAAACAGCTGCTATATCCCATACCAGAGGTGGCTGTATTTCAGTAGTGGGCAAAATTATCTCTAGCTATACATCTTTCATGCAGTTTTTAAAATTCTTGCATTTAAATGTACTCCAATAGTAAAGCAATGAGCACCACAGAAATACCTATAAACTAAATCAGATTATAAAATGCTTTGTGAACTTTATGAATAAAAAGCACTATATAGATTGCAGTTATTCAGTTCTTAGAAGGGAGGCAGTGTCTATCCTTTCTCATCAGTGACTTCTTCTTGGCGGGTAATGACTCCAGAGAGAAAAGTCTCCGCACAGTTAATCTGCCCTGAGGCTGGCCTCCATTACTGGCCCTTCTTCATCCACATGCCAAACAGATAAGATTTCCCATGAGGATGCTAGAAATGCTTACCAAAAATCAGGATGGAGGCTGCAAGTAATGCTGCATACAGTGACTTGGACATCTCCAGCACTGTGAGGTAGGCGAAGGGAACTAGGCACGAGCCTAGAAATGCACAGAACTGCAGGAAAAGAATGGACACAGAGGGGAATGACAATCTCGTCACAAGATGAATGTGTATACAGATCCCACATACCCTTCTTCCTTCCATCCTCAAACAGATTCAAACAATGGATGCTCCTGCAAGTAACTACAACTGACTGAATGGTGCCCAAGTCTGGCTCACTGAGGATACTCAGGCAGAGGCCAAACTAATGAAAACTTAATTTGAAGAATTTAAATTGTTTATGCAGTTCTATGTCTACACATATAAGTAACAAGGATTTGTTTTTTGTTTCTTTCCAGACCATATAAGTCATTTCCAGAAACATCTTTCAATTAGCTTCATCAAACTGCCTTCAGGGTCAACTCATCCTCATTTTATCCTGGCCAGAGACAATACACGGGTTTCACCCTAACATCCAACAAGTTATTTCAGAGGCCTGTTTGCCATAAAAGACATGGAGCCAGACAAAGAAAGAATGTTAGTGTCTGCTCCACTTTCAAAAATCGCAGTACCAGCCCATCTGGACAGATGAGATAGGGATGAAAGAATTTAATATATGTCATAAAAATCCAGCCTCTTCAAGATCTGAAGGAGTCTATACTGAAGGAGCCAAGGAGAGGAAGGGAAACACCCATCTTTTCCAGAGGACTGTTCTGCTTTCCTTCATTGATTTGTGAGCGGCTGGGTTAAGCACTGGCCTTTGCATTCTTACCCCTCTCATTCCTATGTAGTTATGATGCTCATATCTGTCCCCTGGCTTTTGGAAAGGAAACGTGCCATTGTATCCGCTCAGGTACCCAGCAAGTCCTATCAGCATCTGGGGAGGGAAAGGGGCAAACTGGTCAGGGAAACAACTTCAGAGTCAGTGGCATCCACTCCTGCTGCAGGAAAGATGTTCACAGCATCCCACATCCCACCATCAAAAATCCACCCAAACGTTTGTAGATCTGCATCTTATCTTATAGTCCATCCCAACTATGGGCATTGCTGTCATAGGCACCATTGAGGACTCCCTGAAATGTGTTCTTGCCTTTAATAAAGCATTTGGCTGCAGTGCAGTAACAAACCTATTCTCTTATACCAGATACCACCGAGTTGCAATCCTCCTCAGCCAACATAAAAGTCTCTCTTAAGTGGCATTTTATGAGCAAGTTGATAAACTTGGATATGAAGATCTGATTGACTCAGAATCTGCTGTTTTCAAATGTTATTTTGAGAAAACAGTATTGTTCACTGGTTTACAGAGCACTTAGTTCACATTCCTGCTAGTAGGAACTGCTTAGCTCCCTGGATCTATAACTTCCCACAAGGAGGTCCCTTCATTTCCCCTAGAAGCACTTACACATGTTTTATGACCAACCATTCTCTCCTTTTCAACATCCAGCATTAAGCACACTCTTTACTTTCCCATGTTTTGGGCATTTTCCATGGAAGAGAAAAGAGAGGGTGTGATCTCAAGAGGGGGCCACATGTCACGGCCTCCCAGCTAGACGACAAATAGATGACAACAGTAGCAAGGAAGGGGCATCCAGAAAACTCTGGTGCTCATCCTACACTTTGACCAGAAGAATGGAATAGGCTTTGGTTGGACTGTTCCAATGACCAGGGGATTCCACTGGCTCCTAAAATGTACGCAAGACCTGATGAGAGCTGTTCACCTTCCCCAGAGGTGGGTGGACGTCAAAGAAGAAGGTCCGGTTAATGTAGTAACTTCCCATCTTCCCAAAATGAGTTTCATCCCAACTAAAAAAAGAAAAGATAGATGTACTCAGGAGCTGGAAATAATCAAAAGTCCATAGATGTCTATTTTGCTAGCGACTATCTTTTGCCACTTTTATACTGGACAAGTGCATAACATGTAATCCCATGTAGAATGTTAATTCCACTAAAAGGCTAGAGCTAATGAAAAATGGGTCAGCCTCCTTATTAATCAAGATATCGCTCCATGAATATACCAGTGCTGCAGAACCTACACTGGCTGCCTTCTGGCTGCCAAGTTGAGTTTAAAGGTATTAGTTTTGTCCCTTAAGCCCTAAATGGCCTGGGAGCTGCTTACCTAAGATACACCTCTCTCCCTGTACCATACTGAGGGTCAAATTGGAGCCTGCTCAGTATATAATAGAGAAAATTGTTGGCAGGGCGTTCACTACATGAACCCTTGACATTGAAATCCTACCCCATCCCCCTCCTGAAATAGTCCAAATCAGTTGCCCTTCCTGGCATACCCCCCCACCCACACACACAAAAAATGCACACTCACAAAACTGGGTGACTGGGCAACAAAATGGCAGACAAAATTCAATGTTAATAAATGCAAAGTAATGCACATTGGAAAACATAATCCCAACTATACATATAAAATGATGGGGTCTAAATTTAGCTGTTACCACTCAAGAAAGAGATCTTGGTGTCATTGTGGATAGTTCTCTGAAAACATCCACTCAATGTGCAGCGGCAGTCAAAAAGGCAAACAGAATGTTGGGAATCATTAAGAAAGGGATAATAAGACAGAAAATATATTGTTTCTATATAAATCCATGGTATGCCCACATCTTGAATACTGCGTGCAGAAGTGGTTGCCCCATCTCAAAAAAGATATACTGGAATAGGAAAAGGTTCAAAAAAAGAGCAACAAAAATTATTAGGGGTATGGAACAGCTACCATATGAGGAGAGATTAATAAAACTGTGACTTTTCAGCTTGGAAAAGATACGACTAAAGGGGGATATGATAGAGGTCTATAAAATCATGATGGGTGTGGAGAAAGTAAATAAGGAAGTGTTATTTACTCCTTCACATAACACACGAACTAGGGGTCACCAAATGAAATGAATAGGCAGCAAGTTTAAAACAAAAGGAAGTATTTTTTCACAAATGCACAGTCGACCTGTGGAACTCCTTGCAAGAGGATGTTGTGAAGGCCAAGACTATAACAGGATTCAAAAAAGAACTAAATAAATTCATGGAATATAGGTCCATCAATGGCTATTGCCAGGATGGGCAGGGGTGTCCCTAGCCTCTGTTTGCCAGAAGTGGGAAATGGACGACAAGAGACGGATCACTTGATGATTACCTGATCTGTTCATTCCCTCTGGGGCACCTGGCATTGGCCACTGATGGAAAACAAGATACTAGGCTAGATGGATTTTTGGTCTGACCCAGTAAGGCTGTTCTTATGTAAAGCCTGTAAGAGCAGGCATATGGGGAGGGATGAGGTGATTGGGCACAGCAATTTTTAAGAAGAATGTGAAGGATGAGAAATTTTGCTTTATAATATATTTGTTGACTGGTGATTAGCATATGCATGAAAATGTGCTGCCTCAGTTTCTCCATCTGTAAAATGGGGATAATGATGAAAAGCACTATATAAGAGCTAGGTATTATAATTTTAGTTGCATAATGACTGTAGCAATGTATTTTTATTAATAGGAAAAGCATCTAGAGCCCAAAAGAGTTATTCTTTTATGTTATTGTCTTTACGTCAAAATAATAAACTAACTAAACAGTTAATCACCAGGAACATGGCCTAGCTTCATGTTCATACAGCACTTTGGCCTTGTCTCCACTAGCGCAATTTACCGTGTTATGTAACATTTACTCCCCCAGTTGAAATGCACTTGGCATCCACACTCACAAGTACTTCAATCAGTCTCCATAGGGACTAAACAGACTGATGGATCTTTCCAGACAATTGTTCCAGAGCGGGTGTGGACAGGAGCCTTCAAAAGCAACCTCCCACCATAGGAGGTGAAAGGAGCCTCCTTTCCCAGCTCCTCACCACAGCTGCCTCATTCACCGAGTTCACTATAATTTGCTGACTAAGTCTCCTCTCTGCCACGCCCCCCTTGTCTTGACCCCTTCAGCTATGCCCCCCCAGCATCCTCAGGGCCGGATTTCCAAGTGGGCACAGAAGGCACATGCCTAGGGAGGCTGGCATTCTAGGGGCACCTAAAAATTAAAAGTGGGTTAAACGTTTCTTTTTTTTTACAGAAAACATGACGGTCAGCTGTAGGCCGGGGGAGTGCTGAAGATGCTGTGCCTAGGGGCATGTAAAGTGTATATCGGCGCTGAGTATCCCCTCCCTGGAAGTGTCCCTGCTGGCCATGGCCTCCACGTTATCGTTATCCTCCTCCCACCCCCATCCATCCATCCATCCCTTGGGGCTCATACTCAATCAGCGAAGCAATGGGGCTTGACTAGCCACCAGCTGCGGGATGCTGAACCGCTAGGTGACGGCTGTCAGCGGGGCGAGCGGGGAGCTGTGCCCCTCATACCCCTGCCCCACTCCCAAGGCCCAGCCAGCCACACAGCCACGGGCAGGCGCCTGTCGCTGCCCCAACCCCACGGGGCCGCGAGCGCCGCACCAAACCCCCATTGCCCACGCGGGCAAGCGGCTGTTAAACCCAGCACTAGGCCCCGGACCGACCCAGCCGTGACTCCGCCCCCTCCCCCGCGGCCTGACCGCCAGCCCCACCCCCGTTGCCATAGCGTCGCGGCCCCTCACCAGACGTGCGGCGGCTCGGACAGGCGGTAGAAGCGGGAGGCGAAGCTGAGGAGGGTGACGAAGGCCAGCGGGGCCCAGACCCCGACTGGAGCTTCCAGGGGAGCCCAGGCCCGCGGAAGAGGAGAGGGACGGCTCGGCTCACCAGCCGGCCTGCGGGGTCGCCGCTGCCGAAGCCCCCCGCAGCGCGGGCCCGACTCGGCCTGGCAACACCCCGCCGCCAGCGTCATCCGCGCCCCGACACGAGGGAGGTGCCGGCGGCCGGGCATCCCCGCGCACGGCACCAAGGGAAAGGGAGTCCGGGCCGTAGGGCATGGCGGGAAGCGGAGCCTGGTTCCCTCGCAGGGCATCGTGGGAGTTGTAGTTCTCCGCGCCGGGGGCCGAAGCGCCGCCGCGGCTGGGGAAGTCAAGCAAGAGCCGGGTCGAAAATGCCACAGAACGGACCCTGCGCAGCGTGAAAGGAAACGGCGGGGACCCGTCACCTCCCTCCGCCCCCAGCCGGCACCCCGAGATTGCCCTGCCCGACCCCCCATTCACCGACAGACCCCTCTAGACTGACACCCCGGGACTGCCCTACGTGCCCACCCCCTTCACTGACAGACCCCCACAGACACCCCGGGACTGCCCTATGTGCCCACCCCCTTCACTGACAGACCCCCACAGACACCCCGGGACTGCCCCGCTTGTCCCCCCATTCACAGACAAACACCACGAGATTGCCCTGCCTGCCCCCCATTCACAAACACCCCGTGACTGCCCTGCCTGCCACTCCCATTCACTGACAGACCCCCAAAGACACCCCAATACTGCCCTGCCTGCCCCCCTTCACTGACAGACACCCTGTGACTGCCACTCCCCATTCACTGACAGACCCCCCCAGACACCCCAACACTGCCCTGCCCGCCCCCCTTCACTCACAGACACCCTGTGACTGCCCTACCTGCCACTCCCATTCACTGAGAGACCCCCACAGACACCCCAACACTGCCCTGCCTGCCCCCCTTCACTGACAGACACCCTGTGACTGCCACTCCCCATTCACTGAGAGACTCCCACAGACACCCCAACACTGCCCTGCCTGCCCCCCTTCACTGACAGACACCCTGTGACTGCCACTCCCCATTCACTGACAGACACCACGCGACTGCCCTGCCTGCCATTCACAGACAGAACCATTGTGACTGTCACTCCCCATTCACTGACGGAACCCCATAGACACCCCGTGAATGCCCTGCCCACCCCTCCCCCCCATTCACTGACAGACCCCCCACATCCAATGACACATCAATGACCCCCCCAGGCCCATTAACTGACAGACTCCCCCACACACACCCAGTGACTGCTCTGCCCCCCCACCCGCGCATACCCACTGCTCCCATTTGCTGACAGACACACACACACACACAGTGACTGCGCTGTCTACAAACAGCCACAGCTCATGTGCACATCATGCGCACACTACTGCCCGCCCCCATTCATTGACAGACCCCACCCACCACACACATCTCATGTGTGCACACAGTATGCGCACATCCATTGCCAATCCCCATTCACTGACAGACACACCCAGTAACTGCTCTTCCACTGCTCACACACACATCAGCTGGGCACACACAGCACTTGCAATGTTTGTCGTGCCTATACAATAGTGCTTAATTGATCAGATTTACTTTTATTGCTAGACAGATTCTCTTTCTGGTTTTTGATCTGCATGCTGCACTCCCTGCGTTGCAATTACCTTGGGAGGGATGTTTACATTCAAATTCTTCATTGAAATTTTAGAAAATAATATTAAAATGTTTCAGTTAATATGAGGATTTAAAAAATCTTTTCCTCTTTACAAAAATCTAAACTTTTGGGCATAAACTATCCAATCGAGATGCTTTAAGACCTGGAAAAGCATCTAGAACTACTACTCCCAGAATCCCAACAACTCTCAAAGCATGCCTGGGGCCTCATCTGTATAAGACTGGCAGCAGGAACAGACCTATAGAGAGTACGTGAAGGAGGATGTGTCAGCCAATGCAATGTTAGCATCTGTGTGACTTCTGTTCATTCAGAGGCGGAGAGACAGAACAGAGCGGTGCTGAAAGTGCAAGATGAGTACTGCCTTAGTGAAGGTATTTACTGCTACTGGGGCCCAGAGACCGAGAGCAGAATTGGGGCTTTTTCTTTCACTCTGACTGCACAAAGAGAAGCTCTTATTTCTCCTACAGATAATGCAGCTTCAGCTGGAGGATCTTCAGGTTAATTCAGAGGCATCTGAAGTGCAGACTGTGCATTTTCAAATAGGGATGTAGCTACCCTCAACCCCACACGTTTTATGGAAGATGGGCTGAAATTGTGGCCCCTTGATCAGATGTAAGTAATCCCTGGATTCAGTTTAAACCCTGAGTCCTGCAATATGCCCCACACAGGCAGACCCCTATGGCTGTACAGAGCCACATTGACTTTACTTGGGCTTTGCCCAGATCAGGGGTTTCAAACTGAAATGACCATGAGGGCCACATGAGGACTAGTACATTGGCCTGAGGGCCACATTACTGACACCTCCCCTCCCCCCACCCTGCCGCCCTCGGCCCCGCCCCCACTCCACCCCTTCCATGAGGCCCCACCCCTGCCCCGCCTCTTCCCACCCCTTCCCTGAAATCCTCACCCCAACTCTGCCCCCTCCCTGCCCCCAGGGGGTGCAGGAGGGGTGTGGGGTGTGGTGGGGGCTCAGTGCAGGGGGTTGGGGTGCAAAGAGGGGTGCAGCAGGGAGATCAGGGCAGTGGGTTGGGGTGCAAGAAGAGTGTGGGGTGCAGCAGGGA